TTTTTTTGGTTCTGAGTTGTGCCCTGAGGGGTTTTTCTGCCCCATCAGTAATCATTCGCACCAATGAAAAGTAGCAGTCACCTGCCTCTGTTAGAGAACTCTATTGAAAGATGTGGAATTTACTGCCGTTTAAGGCAGAGGGTCCAATGTCTCTGTCCTCACAAGAAGGAAAATAAAGATAATTTAAGACTTAGAGCTGCTCCAGTTGTTTTGATCAACCTGCCAGATATTTGTTTTAGATCTGTAGGTTCTTTTTGTGGAGGAAGAAGAGGTTACCCAGATAGACAATGTTGGATTATGAAGAACCCCTGAGTTAATAATCATGTTTCAGTTCAGTTGCTCAGTCGTGTCCGACTCTTTGCGACCCCATGAATCGCAGCACATCAGGCCTCCCTGTCCATCACCAGCTCCCAGAGTTTACTCAAACTCATGTCCATCAAGTCGGTGATGCCATCCAGCCATCTCATCCTCTGTCGTCCACTTCTTCTCCTGGCCCCAATCCCTCCTAGCATCAAGGTATTTTCCAATGAGTCAACTCTTCGCATGAGGTGACCAAAGTAATAATCATATTTAGTCTTTTGTAAACTTTTTTCCTTCTGAAATGTAGCTGATGTAATACATCCTAAGTCCATTTTGGAAACTTTTAACCTCTACCTGTGAATATCTTGGGGAAGTCAGATGTCAAAAAACTGTCCTTCTTTTCCCTGTTGGCCTACTAGGACATACTCTTTCATCAGATCCCCCTACCAGCTTTTTTTTTAGAGCTGCTGATTATTTATTTGTTTGTTTTTTTAATTGGAGGATAATTGCTTTACAGTGTCGTGTTGGTTTCTGCCATACGGCAACATGACTCAGTCATAACTATACGTATATCCTCTTCCTCTTGAGCCTCCCTCTAACCTTCCATCCACACCTCTAGGTCATCACACAGTGCCAGTCTGGGCTCCCAGTGTTGTATAGCCGCTTCCCGCTAGCTGTTTTACACAGTATATATGTCGGTCTTACTTTCTCAATTCGTCCCAGCCTCTTTCCCCCCCAACTATGTCTACAAGTCTGTTCTATATATCTGCGTCTCTATTCCTGCCCTGCAAATAGGTTCATCAGTACCATTTTTCTAGATTCCACATGTATGTGTTAATATACGATATTTGTTTCTCTCTTTCTGACTTACTTCACTCTGTATAACAGGCTCTAGGTTCATCTGCCTCAGTTCCACTGATTCACATTTGTTCCTTTTTATGATTGAATAAAAAGGGAACACTTTTGCACTCTTGGTGGGGATGTAAATTGATAACAGCCATGATGGAGAACAGTCTGGAGATTCCTTAAAAAAACTAGGAATAAAACTACTATAAGACCCAGCAATCCCACCACTGGGCATATACCCTGAGAAAACCATAATTCAAGAAGACATATGTACCCCAGTGTTCACTGTAGCACTGTTTACAATAGCCAGGACATGGAAGTAACCTACATGTCCATGGATAAAGAAGTTGTGAGAGAGAGAGAGAGAGAGATAAATCACGCACATACAGTGGAATTATTTTTTCTTTTCATTATTTTGTGTCTCAAAACATTTGCCAGTTTCAGCCTTGTAGTTGCTAATCGACTTTCTTGTCTTGTCCCCCCTCCCACCCTCTAAAATCCAGACTGTAGCTGGTAAACCACTTGAGGGCAGAGGTCATGTATACTCTTGCCTTCGTGTCCTTCAGGATAGGCTTCGTGTCCTGAAGCCTCAGTGTCTGGCTTTACACCTGGTGACATTGTGTAAAGTTGAGGATGTGACCTGGAGCAACAGAGGGATCTCCCCGAGAGGTCAGACCAGGAGTGAAGCGGGGGCTGGGACGGGCAGGGAGCTGGACTTTGATGAGTCCAGGCAGAAGGCCCAAGTTCTCCTGGGACTCTGTCACTTCAAGACCAGCGGCCTTGGGAAAGGACACGCCTTCTCTGAGCCTCCCTCCTTTCAATTTATCGGGAATTGCCTGCCTTGAGATAGGGCAGTAAAATTCATCTCATCACAGGAGCAAAAGACAGACATAGAGAACAGAAGGGTCTTATGAGACACTATCAAACAGACTCGTAACACATTTATTGGGGCCTGTCTCTCCTGGATGTTGTGAGAGTCAGCTGGCTAAATGTCCAGGATAGAATGAGCCTACAATAATGCCCCCAGGACTTGCATTAAAATAACTTTCTAGTAACTGAATCTCTTTCCCATTTAGCAGTGGGAGTTGGGGGAGTAAATTTGAGATAGAGACCCCTGAGTCATCTGTGTGGCTAGTGCTCACTGGGTTGAACTACATTAGGACAAGATTCTGAAGGGCTCTTTCCAATGACTTCTATCAAAACTGCCACCTTGAGAAGACCCAGCGGAGGCGCACAGAGTCAGGTATAAAGAATGTGAAAGTCTCAAAGCAGGAACCACCCTTTTGAAACAGGAGCCTCCTTCTCTTCAGCTCATTAACTAACTGTGGCAACGAGGGACTCAAGTTTCCTTTGGTCATGCCTACTGATTCCCTGAGGGAGAGTAGAATCATGGAGTGGGGGTCCCCGAACACAGCAGATCAGATCTGCTTTTCTCGTGCTGGGCAGCTGCACAGATCGGGGAAGGCAGGCTCCCGGATCTCCTGCTCTCACCCCACCCTGCACTTGGCTGGCTGGGTCACTCTCATGGTCAGTCGCTTTGCTTGGAAAACATAGCCATTTCTCTGTGAAAGTGGTGAAAATAGTCACCCCATTACTGGTCCTATTGGAGTGGCTACTACCACTTACTGAGTGCCTAGCAAGCTCTGGGAGTTGGTGATGGACAGGGAAGCCTGGTGTGCTGCAGTCCATGGGGTTGCAAAGAGTTGGACACGACTAGGTGACTGAACTGAACTGCACAAGTCCCAGGAAGTTTGAGACACTTTATGTAACTCTCATTTTATCTCCCTAAAGCTGTTATCAGGGAGGTGGTAGCATACATAACATAAAATACATGCAATGCTTTTGGCAAAGTACCTGCCTGACTCCCTGTAACCGTTCCTGAGAATATGGAGGCTCTGTCATCGGGGCCTAGGATAGGGCCTGGCACATAGCAGTGGCCCAGTAAATATCTGCTGAATGAATCATAAAAATCAGTTGTTCCATAGCCCCACTTTTCAAGAGGAGCAGACGAAAGCTTGGAGAGGGTTAGTAATTGAGCCATTTCACAGAAGCAGGCGAGTGGCTGAGCCAGAGTCAGAACCTCGGGCCAACTGGCTCCGGCATATAGAGCATTCACTCCTCACCCTTCTCCTGCCCACCCTGACAGGAAGGCATGATCCTGGTAGGAAGTAGTAGATGCCAGTGTGGGAGATGCCCTGAGTAGGAGGGGCTTGGGTTTGTGATGTTTGTGAGCTGGTTGGTTGGGAAGATGGTATTGCCCCTGGTTAACTGAAGCTGGATGCCACAGTGCCTGAAGCACATCTGACACTGGCAAAAGCTGGCCTTCCTTCCTCTCCCAGGTATTTATGTGATTTGTCAGCTATGAAACCTAATGAGCACAGTTTATAATTCTATGATCTTTTAATCCTTCACTGGCTGCTTAGCAGATGCCCGCCCTTCCTTTTTAGACTTTTGCTCTGGCTCCATAAATATGCTGATTTTTAGTCTGTGTGATCTAAAGGAATATGATTTAGAAAGCAATTTCAAGTAATCAAAATGAATGTGGTAGAGAAATCACATGCACTTTGGGGAGTGTGGTAAATTGCAAGCATATACAGTTTTATGACACATGAATCTCAGTGGATTCCTCTCCTTTGCATTGATTTGCATGAATAAGACATATCATTTGTTGTCCTTTATTGTTTAGATAACTAATGAGGTTTGCTGCTTTTCCACATTTAATTCAGAAGTGGTTTTTATCGGTCACCTATATTTAAACTCCTAGGCAGTGTTTTGTAATGATGTCCCAAAGAGACCCACAGCAGCACACATTATGAATTTATCAACTTTGTATTTACATATGGGCTTCTGTATAAATAGGTATCATGTTATTAAGCTATAATTATGGTAAGAAGAAATACCATCTCTGACTTCTGCCCCATGGTGAGATCATGTGAATTTAAGTTATAGAATAATATACTTGGCTATAAAGAAAACCGCTTTACTCCTTTAATATACCAGTTCTAACTTTGTTTTTTTTTCAAGAATTGTACAAACCTCTCCGCCCTTTTTTTTTTAATAATGAAAGTTCCAAATGATACCAACAGTTCCCTTTGTGGACCACACCAGGAGAAGGGGGACTCTCCCTTCTGTGCCAAGGAAACTGATAAGGATATTGGTGCACAATTGTACTTGCAAAGCATTAGATAAGGCATCAGTAACCAATTCTGAGTATTTACTTAAGTAAAACTCAGGTTCCGTCCTACTTCAGTCAAGGTAATTGTGTTTTTAAGAACTCGTGGAGAATGCTTCCCAAGGTTCTTTTATCCTTTGTGTATGCTGTTGATTTCTACTTGTTTATAGAATTAGGGGCCTTGGGAGATAAATATCATCTACTTGCCTGAGGCAAGACTGTACTTCAAGTCATCCTTGAAAGGTAGTTTACTCTCTTTTAGAATATCTTAAGAGATGAAAGCATTTTTGGCACGTTGTTTAAAAGGGTCATTTACTTGGAAATTTTTTTCCAGGGTCTAATCTAACATCTTTCTCTTCTGGTCTTGTTCAGAAAAATAAAAGGAACTGAGTTCAAAACCTGTCTTCTTCTGAGTTTATAAAGAGGATTTTGCTGTGTAATTTTCCCCCTCAGGGTTGAACAAATGTTGATATTGGTGTTGGTGGCTCTGGTATGTAAAATGATCTTCCCATTTTCCCTTTAGTGCTTTAGAGAAAAGAAGAAGCAGGAACAAAAACAGGTTCTAGGATTCACTTCAAGGCTGTCAGGATGCTAACAAATGGTTCTGGAACCTTGTACATGGGTTTGCTTCCTTAAGGCTATGGAAAACATTTTTGATTTATTTTGAATTGTTTATTTTCAGGTGCATTTTGACCAGTTTAAGGAAGCATTAATACTTATCTTGTCTAGAACTCTATCAAATGAAGAGCACTTTCAAGAACCAGGTAAGGACGCTGACTTCTTTTCTTTTTGCTTTAAAATTTGTCCAGGGGAGAATCTGGGGACTTTGAGGCATGTGTGTGAAAGCTTCGAAGTATCTGCCTCCCCCAGACTGAGCGGTCATTTGGAGTGACTTGTCTTTTGACGTGGTCGTAAAAGGCGTGCAGCTGTCACACACTGGGAAGTCTTCTCTACCACAGCAGTGAATTAGGGAAGAAATCACTGGATTGTTCCCAGGAGATCTGTCAGATGGTGTGGCCGTAATTCATTCCTGGAATGAGCAGAGTGGAACTGAATGGTCCTTCTTCCCTCCTCATTGCCTGTGAACATGAAACAATATGAACTGGGGCAGAATTTTGTCTGAAAGAAGGGTGGATAATTTTATTTAGTCCCAGTGAGTGGATAGCCCTGTGTTACAGACAGGACCACATTATAATTATTTTTCTCTTTCCTCTTGAGGGATAGTTCTTTATGGTCCATGTTGTTCATATTTGTACTTTTAATGCCCAATAGGATGCTTCACACATTGTAAGTATTCAATGAAAACTTAATATTATACTTCATTGATTTTTTTTAAGGCACTATAGATTATGGCACATCTTATTTTATATACTCCTAAAAAGAAAATTTTTTCTCAGTTAAAATGGTAAAATGCCATTGATTATAAAACACATCATAATTTGAGAATGTTTAAATCTAGGAGTGTGTGTGTTGGGGGTAGTATCTTAGGATCAGTGACATATGGTAAATATTTAAGGGGAAGTGTAAACAGTGTTGAAATTTATATTATAATACAGTCTGGTTTTTTAAAAATCAGAAGCTAGGGTTAGAGGTTGATTATAAAGGGGCACACAAGGGAATTTTGGGGGTGACAAAACCATTTTTATGTCTTGATTGTGATGGTGGCCACAAATTTTATAAGTTTTTTTCTAACCCACAGAATTGCTCTCTAAAAAGGTGAAACTTACTCTTTGTAAATTATACCTCAATAAAGCTGACTTTAAAAAAGAGAACACTAAAAATGTAGTCCAGTTTTGAGAGTGAGGAGAGATCATTAACATTTTGTTGCTACAAGCAGTCATTCAGTGTGACCTACTTGGAAGCACAGGTGGGAACTCTTGTCTTATCCTCACTGGTGATCCAGTTCATCAGACCTTCTGAAATGCTCCAGATTTGTGTCATATATATGAACTCTGCGGTTAGCAGTGTTTTGGGTTTGGATTGAGTCTCCCCCTTCTTATTAAGGTTATTATTATTAATTCTGAGGCTTGCCAGAGCTCTCTGCAAACCCCCAACGAGCCTGGGAGGGAGTTTATTGCATCCTAGAGGTTTTCCAGACTAAAAATAGAATTTCTGTAGGTCACCCAGTGCTGGAACCTGGACTTTTATTCTTACGGGGGTCTCACATTTTATTAGTAGTTTTACTTCTTTAAGGTTGTCATCTTGATAAATATAGTGTAAGATCTAGGGACCCTAACTAGAGCTATCGTGACATCACCCCATCTATTGTTGTTCATGAGAGCATAGGTAACATACACTTAAGCTCAGTGTTCTTCTCTTTGCCCATAATGGGTGTTTATGTCAGTTTGGAATAGGCTGCCCTGCTTCTCATCCTTTTGCTGCTCTTTCTTCAAAACCTGTTCTTGATACCTGCCAGAAAATTGTCATAATAAATATACAGACCACAAAGGTGAAGGGTTCCCTGTAGAACTGTACCACCTTGGGATCTGAATCATAGGATGAGTAGGTAGACAGTGTCTGGTTGAGCTTGGTAACAGTTTGAAAGAAAGGTTTGTAAGTTCAACTGCAGTCAGTGGTTTCAGATTTATATGTGCGCCTCACTGCTGGGCAGGAGGAGGCATCATTTGGACAAGTCTTCCAGAGGGGTTAATAGTTGACTGTGTGCTCCATCCTTTGGGTGGACTACAGCAAACCTTTGTTACAGAGCTGCCCCAAGTCAGTGTAATAAAGCATCAAAGTACTTACTGACAGCATTTCTTCCAGCATGTATGTGACTTCCCTAACGTTTGATCTGAAAGGATAAAATCTAGAATGGAGCCTGTGCCTTAAGAGTGTTGTATCTCGTTTGAGGCTGAGTCATTCCTCTTTTGTTCCTGAGCATCTCTGCTTTTTCTGACTTTTGCACTCCCTGGGCCTTCCAGTCATTTCTGGGGATCATGCATTTCTTTTCATTCAGACATTCTCCCACCCACTCAAATATGTGACTCCACCCCTACAGGCTGCCTGACTTGGCTAGAGAGAGGCAGAGAAAGAAGGATCAGGACTTAAATGCTGTATATCAAGAGGCCACCTGGGTTCACCCCCTCTTTCCCCTTTACGAACATGGTTCAGTTCAGTCACTCAGTCATGTCCAACTCTTTGAGACCCCATAGACTGCAGCACGCTAGGCTTCCCTGTCCATCACCAACTCCCAGAGCTTGCTCAAACTCATGTCCATTGAGTCGGTGATGCCATCCAGCCATCTCATCCTCTGTTGTCCCCTTCTCCTCCCACCTTCAATCTTTCCCAGCACCAGGGTATTTTCCAGTGGGTCAGTTCTTTGCATCAGGTGGCCAAAGTATTGGAATTTCAGCATCAGCATCAGTCCTTCCAATGAATATTCAGGACCGATTTCCTTTAGGATTGACTGGTTTGAACTGTTATCAATATAACAATCCCTTAAGTCATAGACTGTATGACTGCAGGGCTAGAGTGAATGCTGCCATTTTATCCGTGAGCAAACTGAGATTCAAAGAGGGATGTGGATTAGTTGAAGTCTCACAGATAGGGGCAGAGGAAGATGCTAACTCTGTATCACCAAGGGATGGGAGTCCAGGAGGCTTTGGTTTAAGGGTGTTCACCCTCAGATGGACGAGCTGGGGGCAACGCACGCTCGGTCAGTGCAGCCTGGCCAGAAAGAGTCTGACGAGTGGCCAGCAGCAGAAGGAAGGAGCAGAGAAGAGCAAGTTTCACCTAATAGTTAGTGACAGGGGTGTCTATGTCCTCAGCATCACTTGGCTGTTCACCACTTAGCTCTTCTTCCACCGTAAGGGGCCAGGGCTGTGGTCTTTTTGTCTTACGTTTTGAAATCAATGGACCTACTGGACTTTGAGAGGAAAAATTATTCTTAAATTAGTAAAAATAGGATGGCCATAGTGCACAGCCTTTGACACTGAATGAGTCATGAACTGATATTTCGTAACATCCAAGATTTTTATAAATTAAAAATATCCAGTGCTGCACCTGACTATAATATGGAAAATCCAGCCTGATATGGTAGGAAGACCCTTGAACCAGGAGTTATGTAATACTAGCATGTGTGTTCAGTGGTGACCAACTCTCTGCCACCCCATGCTCCCCTAATTGTGTGGCCTTATATATTAAACTCCAATACTTTGGCCACCTCATGCGAAGAGTTGACTCGTTGGAAAAGACCGTGATGCTGGGAGGGATTGGGGGCAGGAGGAGAAGGGGACGACAGAGGGTGAGATGGCTGGATGGCATCACTGACTCAATGGGCATGAGTTTGAGTAAACTCCGGGAGTTTGTGGTGGACAGGGAGGCCTGGTGTGCTGCGATTCAGGGGGTCACAAAGAGTCGGACACGACTGAGCAACGGGACTGAACTGACACATTAAAACCTCTGAGGTCTTTGGTTACCTCATGTGTGAAGGTAATTATACTAGAAAATACTTAAAATCCATTCAACTCCAGGATTCAGCTGTGTTGTCTCCTAATATCTAAATGACATCTACGTGTATGAAAAAACTAGCTCTGTGTTTCTGTAAAATTTCACCCAAAATAAATTGACACTACAAAGATCAACTTCTTAAGAGCAACTACCCAGTATAGTTCATACTTCCCTATTCTTCTAGTAAAAGACAGCTATATATAAATAATACAAAAACAAAGCTCTAATAAGATTTCAGAGGAGATGGAGTTAAGTCATGATTTCCACAGTCTTGGGTTCTGCCATTTCTAACATCTCTGAGGTACACTGTCTTTATTTTTAAAATTAGAAGGTATAGATGATTTGCAGCATCTTTTTAACTCTGATGTTTATGATTCTAAAACTCTTAACAGAGAGTTTTTCCCCCTAAAAACTCAACAATGCAATGAAGATACTAAAATTCAGATGAAGTCAGAAAAATGGGTTGGGGATGTAGGGAGTCCTTTGTGGATTCCAAGCTGATTAACATCACTGGTGGCAGAGCTCCCCCACATCTGTGTGCAGCTTAATTTTCAAGTTATTTTCCTAGAGTGAGAGAGGGACACCTTAATTATTATTTATGGATTATAGGATTTGGGTAACGGAGATGCTGACACGGTCCAAGCTACACAGCTGTAAGCTACATAGTTACATGGCTACGCTGTCCGGATCTGTTCTCCAGAGACTTTTGTCCTTGTCTGATGCATCTTGCAGTAGGTTTCTGTTCTGTGGTAGCTGTTAGCATGACGCAGCAAATGCTTCCTCCCCTCATACTGTTAATGTAAATATCTTTCCTTTGTTTATCTGGTGAGGGAGATCTCAGGTTTGGAAAAGCTAAACTGTTAGAAAAATAAGGTAAGGCAGATGATTGGGCTTTTGTTTTTGTTCGTAGTAAACATTCTTCACTCCAGAAACTGCCCTATTTCTAATTATTTTCCTTGTATTTTGGAGAAGCTGTGACTATAATAAACAAATACCTCCTCATTCACTTGGCAAGTGTGCATTGAAGCAGACAGCAGGCTAGATCCCGGTTTGCAGGGATTGAAGATTTGTGTTTGCAGCTGTGTTTGGGGGCCGTGGGCCAGGCCCTGAGCTCTGGCTGAGGGCCCTGTTTTTAGAAGATATGCACAGATGGCCAGCAGGAGCGTCCTCTTGTCCTCTCTTCAGTTAAGAACTTAGTCCCTTGGTGTATGTGGGATGCTATCAGTGAGGACCAAAAAAAAATTTCTTCGAAAGTTAAAAGCAACATAAAGGCACTACCATTAACCACCACCACCATCAAAAGACAGTGTGAGGA